TGTTTATAAAACTTAATTTTAAATGCATAAAAATGTCATTTACTTATTAGTTTTGATCTATGCATACTCTGAATGCTAATTGTGGAAGTATTAAATCTTTTTCTGCAATTAGATGGATTATTGGTTGGATTTAAATTGCTGGAATGTTAAACACTGTTCTGCAATAATTTGGGTAATGGTTTGGACTGTAAATTGCTAAATTTTTATTTATATGTTGTAATTTACATGAATTTGGATTTAAATTACTGAAATGCTAAATACTCTTCTGCAATTATTTGGAATGGTTTGGACTGTAAATTGCTAAACTTTTATTTATATGTTGTAATTTACATAGTTTTGGATTTAAATTGCTGAAATACTAAATACTCTTTTGCAATTATTAGGAATGGTTTTGAACTGTAAATTACTAACTATTATGTGTTTGTTGTAATTTACACAGATATGGAGGATTGTATGCACCGGTATGGGACGGTGACATACTAGGATGGCTTAGCTCAGAAACGCTAAGACCTACCCTATTGGAATAAGGGAATGGATTATAAATAAATCCTACTTATATTTATGCTAAGTCAAAGAAGCTGCACAAGCTGAATGACTAGCTGGATTACTTGTTATCTATGTTGAGTCAAAGAAGCTGCACAAGCTAAATGGCCAACTGGATTTCTTATGGATGGATAGGAACAGATTTTAAATATATTTTTATGGTACTACGATATGAGCTTGAGTTTCAGAGTCGTTGGTTAGGGCGCATATATGCAGTGAATGCGTAGCTGGCTATGATGGGTTGAGGTGTACCATGTTAGGTTTAGGTACTCATGCCCACCTTTAAGTGCATTTTTGCATGTTGCCTTTTATCCAGGTTGAGACCCCCTATATAGTCCAATGAATGTCCCTTAGTGTGGATATTTATATATATATATGGACTAGATAGCTATTATTGAGATATTTAGGGTGTATCTGCGTATCGGGTCATTGTATGGATTGCAGTTAGAATAGAATTTGCATGTAGGCCTGACCCACTCTTATTTTTACAGGTGTTCATCGGTTCCAGGCTTAGAACTTGATCGTGTTGAGCAGATACAGTCATTCACTCCACCGACGACGTAGGATTTTATTTTTATGGTTTAGCATTGGGTTCTTTAGTTGTTATTTTTCCAGTGTTGGAGTTTATTAGGGGTCCATCAGATGGATTCCCGAGTTGTATTAAAAATAGAGAAGTTGAATGTATCAGAATAATTCTTTATTTATAAAATTTATTCCAAGGTTTCAGTTTTTGGGATAATCGTTCTAGTTTCTTTTCAGCAAATTTTATTTATTCCTGTTTATCCTAATTGTATTCTGTGTTCATTTATTACTAATTGGTTTGATATCCTCGGGTAATTGGGCGTGGGCCTGGCTAACCCGCATCCGAAGATCCGGGGGTATCACAACTCCAAACCTCCAGATTTTTGTTTTCCTTATCAAAAGAACCTCCCATTAGCATGATAGAGTTGCCGGTCAGAGCGCAAAAACACATCAACGCTGAAGACACCATGAGTGCACGAAAGGAAGGAAATGACAAGAAGAGGCCAGCTCCTCTCGCCAGGGATGAAAATAATACCAAATATAAGAAATCGTTCTTCAGCCAGAGTGATAGCACATATCATGAGAATGACTCAGATGATTATACCGATTAGAAATTGTCTCACGGCTGGAATTAGCCTTATCAAGTCATTCACAATAAAAACTGGGGGCATCTTAGTTAATCATTTTAAATGGAGGGTAGCTCCATCACATGTTATTTTGTTTTTAATAATGATGGTCTTTAATAAAATTCCTTTTAGTTTATACGTGCAGTATCCCCGTACTATAAGGGATAGTAAATGAGTGTCCTGTATTATAAGGACCAGGGCTGAATGAATCCCGTAATCCGTATCCCCGTACTATAAGGGAATAGTAAATGAGTGTCCTGTATTACAAGGACCCGGGCTGAATGAATTCCGTCATCCATATCCCTGGACTATAGGGGATAAGTATCTTGTATTATCAGGCCCCGGGTTAAATGAATTCCGTAATCCATATCCCTGTAATATAAGGGATAATAAATGAATGTCATGTACTACAAGGACTTGGGTTGGATGAATCCCATAATTAATATCCCCTTACAATAAGGGATAGTAAATAAAAATAATTTATTAAAGAGGTGAGCTGAGTAAAACTCGTAAAGTTCAATCCCCTTACTAAAGGGACGAGCTGAGTAAAATTCGTAAAGTTCAATTCCCTTATTAAGGAGTGAAACTCGTATAATTTATTCCCTTATAAAAGGAAGAGTACTGTTCACTCGGGTAAAAAAAAAAAAAAAAAATTATTACTATTCATGAACAGTACTCGCGGGTACTGTTCATGCACAGTACCCGAGGGTATTGTTCATGCACAGTACCCGAGGGTATTGTTCCCTCGGGTGCCAAAAAAAAAAAACTCTGAGTTACTATTCACATGAATAGTGCCCGCGGGGTACTGTTCACGGGGGTGTTTTTTAAAAAAATTCCCTGAGTTACTATTTACGTGAAAGTACCCGCAGGTACTGTTCACCGGGGTTGAAAAAAAAAAAAAAAAAAGAAAAAAAGAAAAAGTATTTTTATTATTTATTACATTTCCAAAGCTAGACGTGCAAGCTTGGGATGGGGGGGCAACTGATAGGGAAAAATATAAACCTACCCTACCCTCGATAAGATTGATTAGATTTCATTATCAAGGATAATGAAATCAAATCTGACGTGGTTCAACAAGTAAGAATAATCCTACTATAACCGGAGGAGGTCAAAAGGATTAAATCATATCCCGACAAATCTGATAATAAATCTCCTATGATTTCGCACAAGCGGAAGATAAGGTCAACCATCGACATCAGCGGAACGATTTTGATTTCAATCGACAGCCATAAATAAGGCATCAAGCCATTAAAGAAGGTACGACGTAAAAAAACTATTATTAATCCCTGCCTTCTTTTTAGACCTCCGTGACTAATTTAATCGTTGGAGAGCTCTTGACAGGCACCACACTGGTGCTGTCAAGGTTCATCGATCTTCTCCTCTCTTCCTTGCAGGAAAACGGTATCATATCGGACTGCGCGAATTTTAGCCTCGACATCTATTATTACACATTTATATTAATTTAGTGTATGAAGCTCTTATCAGTTGTCTTTATAAAGTAAAAAATTTATATCATATTTAAAAAAAATTATATTATATTTGGAACTTTAACGTAAATGTTTACAAAAAAATCATATTATATTTGAAACTTTAACGTAAATGTTTAGTATTTTATATATTTTAAATTGTATTGAATCTCATTTTTTTTAAAAATAATTATAAAAATACTTCGCATTTTTCAAACATATCTGGATCATGTCCCATTTCTAACTCTAATTGTGTTCATATGGAATGGGTATAAGGTGAATTGGATATACAAGAGGAAAAAAAAAAAAAAATTTCACATATATAAGGCATTAGTATACCCTCTATAAATGAAAATCTTATGGGAGAAAAAACAAAAAAATGAAAATCTTACAAATCAGGTCGTAAATAATTATTTTTAGGGTAAAGTATAACCATATCCCCTGAGGTTTAGCAAAAAGATACTCAGATGAAACTTACCTGTTTTTGGACAAAGACACCCCCTAAAGGTTCAAAAATGAATAAAGACACCCCCTTTATATGAGAAATTGACCAAATTACCCTTTAACCATTTAAGAGACTTTTTTAACTTTATAATTTAATAAATTGGACCAATCTACCCTCATGAACAATTTATGTATAAAAAATAAGTAACCAAAAAAAAAAAAAACTTTATATTGTTCACTTTTTTTTTTTTTTTTTTTTGTTATTTACTTTATAAATGTCACAACTTCTTAAAAATGTAGACGTCTAAACTAATTATTTGATCCAATACATATATTTCAAATAAATTATATTTTGTTATTACTTCTTTTATTTTTCTTTTTTATTTTTAAATTAAAGATGTTTAATTATTTCATCTAAAAAAATTAAACCAATATCTTTTCCTTAAAAATAAAAAATATAATACCAGTATAACTTTTTGCATCTTAAATTATATATTAAATATTATGCATTTCCCAACATAAAAGGGAAAAAAATAATAATAAAACAAAGGGAAAAAAAATAATAAAACAAAGGGGAAAAAAAAAACAAAGGCATGCACAAAGTTAAGATACATAAAGTTATACTGGTACCTATTTTTTTTTTATTTATATTGGAAAATGCATAATATTTGATATATAATTTAAAATACATAAAGTTATACTGATACTATATTTTTTATTTTTAAGGAAAAGAGATTGGTTTAATTTTTTTAGATGAAAGGATTAAACATCTTAATTTTAAAATAAAAAAGATAAAGAAAAGAAGTAATAACAAAATATAATTTATTTAAAATATATGTATTAACTCAAAAAATCATTTTAAACGTCTACATTTTTAAGAAGTTGGGACATTTATAAAGTAAATAACAAAAAAAAAAAAAAAAGAAAAAAAGTGAACAATATAAAGTTTTTTTTTACTTTTTTTTTTTTTTATACATAAATTATTCATGAGGATAGATTCGTCTAATTTATTAAATTGTAAAATAAAAAAAGTCTCCTAAATGGTCAAAGAGTAATTTGGTCAAATTTTTACGTAAATGAGCGTCTTTGTCTATTTTTGAATCTTTAGAGGATATTTTTGTCTAAAAAATAGGTAAATTTTTTTTAGGTATTTTTTTTATCAAACCTAAAGGTGTGACTGTACTTTAACCTTATTATTTTTTTTAGTCCCGCTGTGTTCCATGTGTGATTGATTACATCACGTGACCAGAAGCCGAACACGCATGTTGAAAGGGCACGTGTCCCATAAGTACGGAGAGTAGTTGTGTTGGTGTACGTGAGCGAGTGAGGGAGGAACCGTCGTCGTTTTTGCTGAGACGCGGGTTAAAAAAACGAGTTACTATGACTGGAGTGTCCGGTGGGATGTTTGGCTTTTATTCGTGTTCTGCCTCGTTTGTGGAGAGGAGAGAAGAGCGCTTCCTCCGTCTTCCTGTTTCTCTCTCTAAAATTCTCTTTGCGTTTCTCTCTCTATATACACGTCTGATCGTCGTGGTGCCCGGAAACTGACGTTTTAAGGTGGGGACCAGCTCGCCGATGGGAATTCAGGCGAGGTTCACAACTGTTACGGATTGGTAATGGAGGTTTCCTGATGGAGCTTGATGCCAGAATTCCGATGTCCCGAGCAACCTCCTTGCCTCCTTCCATGAATGAAGGTCCCTGCTCTCTCTCTCTATCTCCCTCACTTTCTGCGTGTGTGTTATTTCTACAAATTTTTTTCAAATTTAGAGGTGCAATTTATTTTTATTGTTGTTGATTTCAAACACTGAATTGGTTATTTTTTATGCTGCATTTGGTTACGAATATGGTGAATTTGATCGCGCTGTGGTGAGTTGGTGTACTTTGATCAAGTGTGATGATTTAGTGCAATTCCGATCAGTTTGGTGAATTAGTTTAATTCTGATCACACTTTATCAATGTTTGTTTTAGCTAAATTTTCAATCTTTATACATTATGTTATTGTTTATTTATTTATTTATTTGTTTCGGGGCAATATATTGGGGTTTATTTTGATTTTTCATTGTTGCATTGTCTTAAATCCATCACATGCAATTGGAACTCTTTTGATGATGTACAATTCATATCACATATTTTTTTTCCCCTTTTATGGAAAATGCTTTACATTAAGTCAAATGGCATGGCAAGAGCAAATTTAAATAAATATGAAGGGGCTAGTATATATTTATTTTGTCAGTTCAGGTGTTCTTTGCAACTTTTCTCTTTGTATGACATTCTTGTTTATTTATTTGTTTTTCTCTATCTCAGTATCAATTGTGGTTACAATATGATTTTTGGTTTGTATACATTTATATCCCAAGAACCGATTGGTTTATTAATAGTTTTGTAGGAATGCAAAGGCCTTACAATTCTGTTCCCCAGCACCGTTGTTTTTGTTTTTTTTTTTTTCTTTTCTTTAGGGGATTGTATTTTACATGGTTGATTTCTTAATTGAAACAAAAGGAAAACTTCATCTCAAAGGTACAACTTAGGAAAAAAGGAAACAGATTTTATAGATTGATGAACCATCTTGCAGTGGAAATAAGAATATTTATATATATATAATGACAGTTTTATATCCAAACTATAATATTCAAATATGCTAAAGTTTTAAACTGACTACTTTGATGTTGTTTCAGATGCATTGTGGCAAATGAATTTGAGATCAAGCGAAACAATGGAATCTGGACCTTATCCTGTGCGCGGAGGAGAGCCAGATTGTTCTTATTACATCCGAACAGGCGTATGCAGGTTTGGGGCAACCTGCCGATTCAATCATCCTCCTAACAGGAAACTGGTAAAAGCTGCGGCTAGATTGGTCAACTTTAGGAATTAGAGTTTATAATAGACGGTTGAAATAGTGCCTCCATAGTGTCTCTACGTGCCAACTAAGTATGTACAATTATGTTTTTATAATCCTATAATACATAATTGAAGAGGCCTTGCACATTGTCAACTAGGCTTTAGTAACATGCACTTTGGAATCTTATAATTATGTTTTTACAGTCCTCTAATTTAGTTGAAGGGTTGATGCATGAACCTTTGCAATATGATCTGCATTCTTTCAGTGTGATTTTGTAGTCATAATTGACTTAACCTATAACAATAAAATATATTTCACATAATAAATCAATAAAATTTTCATAACATAATCCAACTTGGGGTTACCTCAACTTAAGGATAGTCTATTCTTCTATTCTTCAGCACTTCTCTTCTCTAGTTTTTTCTCCATCTTTGTATTTTATTTTTATTGTTACTGTATTTTATTGTCAAGTGCCTGTGAAAAACTTATAACCGCTTTACGGCATTGACACCATCAAGGATATTAGCATTGTAGTTTGGCTTTTAACTAATAATGTTTCTAAAGGTTCTTTTAATGATTCTTTCTGTCAATAATTGTCCTCAAATAGTTCATCTCATGAGAGAGAGAGAGAGAGAGTCACACTCTTACAGTCTTGAGTATGAATGTATTTGACTCTCAATCCGAGAGGAGCATAATTGTCATACAGAAGTGTATGCATACCCCCCTCACTGACTCCTGTGCTCGAAAGAATTACTTCTTTTGCTAGATTTTTTAATTCGAATTACAGTCTACTAAAACTTTTAGGTTGAAATTTCTTTAAGATTCATCACATTATTATTTTTTTGGTTTCGTTTTTGTTTTTTTTGTCCTGGGGATTGAATTATCAGGCTATTGCCACCACAAGGATGAAGGGAGAGTATCCAGAAAGAATAGGACAACCTGAATGTGAGGCATGTATTTATCTTCCACTCTACACTATAAACAGCAGTTTCATTGGTTTTGTATATCTGCTTTCTGTAGGCAAAAATGTACTGTTAGCATGAAGTATGTTATTTCCCTGTATAATTATATATCGAATTTTCCTGTTATAGACTATAGTTATATAATCATTAAGGTTTTTCATTTCATTTGCTTGATGACTAGTTCTCTTTTCCTTCTCTTTTTCTTTCTGGGGAGGGGGTGGCGGGAGTGGATTGCCAATAATAAGATAGTATTTTTTGGTAAGTAAAATTAATAAAATTATAATAGTACTTTTTAGTTAAATTAATAGCATTGCCTTAGAAAGTTAATTTACCACAATGTTAAGCTAGGGAATAGCGATACCAGATTTTGTAATAATATCGGTGCAGATTTTGAACTCATTATACCACGATCCCATTGGCAGTGTTTTAAATTTTTAAGTATTATTGGTCAATGAGTGATGCTAAGAACTTTTTCCCCTTCAATAAATTTGATGAGATGAAGCATCTTTGCGTTCATTTTGTATTCTAAGACATGCTTATAGCTAAGTTTGATGGCTGACCATATCACATATTGCAGCATGAAAATTACAATGGTTTCACATTAAAAAAATTAGACAAATAAATACAAAAATTGCTTCACGATTTTTGCTCAACTCTTGCATTTTGTTAAACCATTAACATCATTTGCTTTCAATATAATGAGAAAATGTTTGATAGTAGCACTGTCAAAGTCCTTGCCAACAAACGTGATGAATGTATTTGTTGGGGGCATGAATGTATTTGTTGTAAAAAGAAAAGTTCATTGCCAACACAAGTTACACGACAATAATATTTCCCATTACTAATGCCATTGTCGTCATGTCTGAGTTGAGTTGTCCCTGAGGGTGGTGGTACTTTGTAGCTTGTACCAGGAAAACTAGTACAGGAGAATTTTTTTAATCAAGTTTTATAAGTAGAAGGCAATAAGGTAAGTTCCTTTCTTCCACGTTATAGGAATTAGAATTATTGAAACATTTAGTTCGTATGTGAATAATATATAAAATTAGTGAAGGCAGACTTTGTAAACTTGAAGAAAACAGGGAAGTGCAATTAGGTTTTGTAGATTCTGAGGCTGTGAAATTCATTAACTGAATTATTTTTTTCCTAGTTAATTAACTGAATTCAAGTTAGGCATAAAGGAGAAAAATATTAAAATTGCAGTGACCAAACTACCTATATGAAAATGTATCTCACCTGGACGGGGAATGTGAAATGTCAATATCCCATATGGGACTACAATTGGTCAAGTGTCATGAGAACTGGAAGAAAAGACCTTTGATGCAAGCGCATTTTTTTTTTTTTTTTGTTTTTTTGATAAGTAAAAATATATTAGAAAAGCGTTCAAAAGGGGAACGCGTCCCTAATACACAAAGCGAAAAAAGAACCTAAGGACCAATAGAATGCAATAGATCAAATAAGTCATCAATCAAGGAGCAAACACTTCCTCTTACATAACAGAAAAGAGAACGAAGAATATGAATTTTTAAATCTGCTAGAGACAATTCCTTTCCTTCAAAATTTCTGTTATTTCTCTCTCTCCATATGCACCACCAAACACAGTGTGGAACTATCCTCCAATAATCACGGGCATGACCTTTGACTGGGCATCTTCTCCACGCGTTAATCAGTTGTATGACGTGATTAGGCATTACCCAATGTACGCAAAAAATGTTGAAAATGAGATTCCAACAATCGTATGCCACAGGACAATGCATAAGAATGTGATCCACGGACTCACCGTATGTTGTACATAGACAACACCAGTTAACAATGGTGTTATCTCTCTTTCTCAAATTATCCAACGTCAAAATTTTTCCCCAGGCGGCAGTCCAAACAAAGAATGCGACTCTAAATGAAGCTTTAGAGTGCCAAATAGACTTCCATGGGAAATCATGCCCAACGAAATTGGACAAGCACAGGAACATGGATCGGACACCATATCTACCATGAGTTGAAGGGACCCACAAAACATTATCACGGCCTCTGCCTGCATTCTTCTGGTTGTACAACAGTTCCAAAAAAACGCATGCTTCTTCCATCTCCCAATCCTGGAAAGAACGCCTAAAACGCACATCCCACGTAACCCCACTGCTATTAAGTTAATGGGAGTCAACTACGTAAGCGTGCTTATTTTCGGCGATACTGTAAAGTCTAGGAAAGGAATGAGACGACAAATGATCCCCACACCACAAATCTTCCCAGAATCGAACATGCCTACCATCACGAACCTTGAATCTAATGTGAGAGGAAAAAACATCCCACCCCTTCCGAATGAATTTCCACGCGCCAACGCCTCCCGTGAGAGTAACTGGACAGGAGGACCAGCCCCCACTCTCCACAAAACGACACGAGACAACCCTTCTCCACTGGCGATGACGTTCCCTACCGAATCTCCATAACCACTTTCCCAATAAAGCTCTATTAAAAGGGACTAGCTTTTGAATGCCTAAACTGCCAAATTTCAAAAGTTTGCATACTTGTTCCCATTTAACAAGATGATACTTAAACTCCTCTCCTCTTCCACCCCATAGAAAGTCCCTCAGAATTTTTTCAATCCTTTCAGCAACAGAGCATGGGATTTGAAACAAAGATAAAACGTAGGTGGGAAGGGACGAGAGAGTACTCTTAATAAGAGTGACCTTCCCCCCTTTCGAAAGATACTGTTTTTTCCATCTTGCCAATCTCTTGTCATACCTGTTAATCATTGGGTCCGAATTCCCAACTCTCCTAGAGGAAATTTCCAAAGGTAATCCCAAATAAGGAAGAGGAAAAGTACCCACTCCACACCAAGAACTGCAGCTAAGGATGAAATATCAGGAACATCCCCCGCAGGGACAAGCACACTCTTTCCAACATTGATCTTAAGCCTAGAAACCGCTTGGAAACAAACAAGAATGCACCTCAAATATCTGAGTTGGGAGACATCGGCATCACAAAAAACCAAGGTATCATCCGCAAATAACAAATGGGAAATCTCCATTTGATGTGCAACATCTCTACCGACTCTAAACCCCCTGATGTAACCCAAATCCTCCGCTCTTCTCATTAATCTGCTCAATCCCTCCATGACAATAAGGAATAAAAAAGACGATAAGGGGTCTCCTTGTCTCAATATGCAAAGTTGAAAGAAAAACTTTACTCGATAGGTACATATGTTTGTTAATGCAGAGAAAATCTGTTAACTAGATGCACCTTGCACTGTTTTAAGTTACACATTGGGTTAATTGGTTATTGGTTTACGCAGGAGAAAATCCTCACTGACTTATCTCTCTCATATACTCAACTGAAAACTTAGGCATTTATTTGTAGAGTTTCTAAGCTCAATTCCCTTTTAAACTAGTAGGATGAATTCTTATGGCTTAAGTTAATCCAAACACGAAATTTTCAAATGAGAAACTTAAAAAAAAAAGAAACCTAAATAAAATAGGAACTGTAGAGGCTGCTAGACTTCTCCTACTTATAATAGTAGCAGGACTTCAAAATTGGTACTTTGACTACTAAGACTTGACCAGACCTACTAGGGACCACATATAAGAGCCAGTAACATAAATTTAGAATTAGACTTACGGACCACTAGGATCACTACTACAGTCGTTGTCTTGCAATACTTTAAAATTATATAAACACTTTTAACTTTGACATTTTAGTGAAACATAAAGCGGCATATTAACCTAAAATAACATATTTTCCCAGTCTCTTTGACATTTGACTCAAGCTAAAACTTGATTGCACAAGGTCAAAGAGAGCTACATGTTCCAATATTTCCTTCTTCTTCTTCTTCTTCTTCTTCTTCTTTCTTCTTTATTTATTTTATTTTATATTATTGTACACTGCATCACTTGTTGTGTTCTGTTTTTTCTTTTTCTCCAAGAATTGTTTGTGGTATTTAGTTGTTCCTAAAACCTTCCATTAAAGGTTGCATTCAGCTTGGTTCGAATCCAGTTTGTGGTTTTGTGGAAGTTGGTCAATTTCTCAATCTTGATGCTTCTTATATTATGTCTAGGTGCTCTATTAAACATTTATTTATGACTAATCTTTTGCTTTGATCTATTCTCCAGTACTACTTGAAGACTGGAACATGCAAATTTGGAGACACATGCAAGTTTCACCATCCTAGAGACAACGCTGGAATTGCTGGAAGAGTTTCCCTAAATATTTTAGGCTATCCGATCCGACCGGTCCGAATTTATAGTTTTCCTTTTTCGTTTCTTTGAACTTATTTCTATGTTTTGAAAACAACTATTTTAACCTAATAGTAAAGCTGCCATAACTATAACTGTCAAGGTCTGACAGACAGAGTATAACGACCATAGGGTATCTGTGATAGTTACCGGAGCCATGATATGTTGTTTTGATCACCCAACAACTTTTCCTTAAATATACTGTTACACATGTTTTAATCCCACTAATTCTTGGTTTTTAATGATTTCTAATGATTTTGTTTAACTAATGGAGAAGCTTTAATATTGGGAATAGATTTTTACAATTAATTTTAAGTCACTGTCACTAATACTGATTTTATGTTCTCGTGGTTGCTTCTGATTAGTGGAATGGTTTGAAAATCTAGGCAGAAAAGGATTAGGCAGGAACTCTTCCTCGTAGTTTTGTGGCGGTTGAAGGTATACTGAAAGGCCCCGAGTATCTTATTCCTCATAGTTCTGTGGTGGTCGTTCAGCAGTTAAATGCTTGCACATCAGTGCCATTGGTATGAGTTTGAGTCTCTGAGCAACTATTTTATTAAATGCCAGAGGTCAGGTTTGTCTCGAGTCCTTTCTTCCCTTACCCAGTTGTAGGGGGACCAGAATTGGGTAATGTCTCTGTAGTTCCATGGTGTTTGAGGGTAATACTGAGAGGCCTTAGGTGTTTAGGGTGATACCGAACTTGAGGGTGGTAACTCTATGCTTCACGCGCATGACCATAACCGTAAGACAGGTGGTATTTTGGTTGATTATTTTGACTAGTATTACCCTGAGTCCTGACATGGATCATACTGCAATTGCTAATTCCAAATTCCCAAAGTTCTTACGCAACAGCAGCTGAGGAGTCTTCAGATGATTATTGCTGTTGCTGACTGTGTCTCCTTTACGTGGTTGCACGGACTCTAGTACTAGCACTGAGATAGACGGAAGTCTTGAACAAGTTCTTCGATCTTGTAATATTCTTGAACAGCCCGAGTCTATAATCTCTTCAATATTCAGTCTGCTAGTACTACCTAAAGGCACAATACCATTACCATGACTTTACCCTTCTCCATTGCAGTTGCTATCTCCATTGACATGCCCATTAATAAACAGTTACATAAAAGGTACTCATAAAAAGTATAAAATGTAAAATAATTTAACAACTAAATAAGTAAAATAGAAAATATAAAATACATAACAGTAGCATGCAAATAATGATATAGTTGGAAAATCCACTTTATCATTGGTCTCCAGCACTCGAAGTAATAATGAGAATCTTTTTGAATTGCCAATATAGCACAATCAATAGCTTCAAACCTTTTGTGGGCTTCTTATCCCCATCAATCAACCATAAGACCTTCACTAGTGTCACTTCTGAACTTGTAACCTTCGATAAGAAGTTCTTTCCTAAAGTGATCTTCCTCACATCATGAAGTGGACAATTCTTCTCCTTCCACCTCGTGAAATTATTTCAGTATTCAGCCATTAACATATTTCAGATTTTTTCACTCTCGATTAGTGGGGACCACACTGGATAATGATGCTTATGAAATTATTTGCGAAGCAATTCTCTACCATCTGTGCATCTGTAAACTTTTCTCCATCAAGTTTGAAACAAAAATATAATTCTAAAGTAAATTAGTTATTGATTTCAAACCTTTGTCATGCTTTTTATTTATTTATTTATTATTATTAGCCATGTCATGGTGCCTGATTTTAGTGCCATCATGCTGTACAATTCAAGTTCTTCTTCTTCTTCTAAAAAAAAAATTTCCCCTCAGCTCAAGTGTAGTCTCATTATCAGTCACCTCTTGCACCATGTATTATGCTCCTCATCGACAGCAATGTCTAGCAATTGAAAATAATACTCTGCAATCCTTCTTTCACATTGAAGGCATCAAATGACTTACAGAGCATGGTATTTCTGGTAGAGTATAAGAAATTAATTATGTGTTTCTTAGTGGGGCTGCTCTAACCATAACCCATGGTGAGATCTCTCTCTATGCCCTCGAATGATTTTATTCACTTCGTCATTGCAGCATATTCTTTAGGCAAGCAAACTCTTGAGGCCTTGTAAGCATTAGGTCCCTCCACTTATTCTTCTACTTTGGCAGCAATACAAGTTGGCTGCATTCATGCAGAATCTACTACATGAGAAGGTATATGATTAACGAGTACAAACTTTGACACTACATCCTGCAACTTCTGTCTCATAGTTATTTTGTATTGCTTTGAGCCCTTACTCTTTTGGAGAACTGGAGCAATTCTGTGCAACATAGCTTGAGAGATCTGGATTAGTTCACTAAAAGCCACTCCCACCAGCATTATGAATAGTATCTGTTCAACTTAACCAAGATGCGATCCTCCAAATCTACCTTGCCTTTGCCCATGCTTACTACCGTTATCCCTGGCCCTGCACCTTAAATTGCAAGGAGCTGAACTGTCTCCTGCTTGATATTCAGAATGGCTTCCACTAGTTATTTTGAACTGTTGTCTATACTCCCTTCTTGTACCATTAAACTTTTCTTTTGGATCATAATTATCCATGGATATGAATCAACCTCATCTTGTAAATTAACAAAGTCTCCTTGATGATCATCACCACCACCTATGCCCCTCTCAATTGAGCCTTTAAGATACTCCATCATCTGTTCCTTACCTTCTCTTAGAACATGTCCATATGGTGCCCCCATTGCCTCTCCAATTTGCAAATTTTCCATTAAACATGTTATTGTATCTTTAGTGATCCTCTCAAAAAAATTAAAAACCACCTTCTATCCATTATGGTTGCAAATTCAACTAATACTTTCCTTTTAATTGGTCCCCACTTCACCATTGTGTCACTTTCTGCATTCTCTGTAATAAATCACATCATCTAAGTAAATCATGAAAATCAATTAGAGATTGAATATTGACAGTTTGATAACATAATTATCATGTATTATTAAGTAACTACATAGTCTATATTTAGTTATATTATATTGCAACTAGAAACATAATATAGTGTTACTGGGGACATGCATTCACATAAATTAGAACCATTTTTAGTTATAGATTTTAAGCATATACAGTAACATATTCTAAACATAATATAGTAATTTGTTACTGTTAGAAACAGTAAACACGAAGATCCAACGAAAGCAATTAAAGCAATCACACACAAACACAAGATATAATGTGGTTCAACACAAACCGGCCTACATCTACTGATGAGAAGCGATGCTACTATGATTCAATAGAGTACCACACCGGCCTACATCCACTGATGAGAAGAGATGCTAATATGATTCAATAGAGTACCATCACCACGTACATGCCTTTTCACCATGTACCACTCTACAAGCTTATCCCCTCGCTACCACTGTCATTGGTGTTTTTCCTACTCTACTAACCATTAACTATCTCTACCCTCAACCCCCTCGCGAGACTATATATCTCTCAATTTCATAAGTCTCATTCGTTCCCGAATGGGTGGTGCCGCCCTCATTGCAGTCGGACCGTCCTGTCTCTGATACCAAGTAGAAATACAATAAATCTCTCATTTATAGCTCTAGTATTTATAGATAAAAAGAGCACATGCTCATATTACAAAAAGGAAATTAAATCGAATCTAAATCAAATCATATTCTTGGCATATTCTAAGCTATGATTCGTGGCTATCAAATCTCTGCAAATACGGTAAGTCATTTCATAAATCATGGCTATCATATCTGCTAACATTTATAGAGTTACAAACCCATTTTCTTGTTGGACAAGGATTACAATTCCTTGGAGCCCAAGACTTGCCAAACAAGAAATTACCTAATTAAATACAACTCTAAAATAGAAACCTAATTAGACTAAGAATTTGAGATAAAACTCCCAACAGTTGAACTATATATAATATAATAAAATAAATCATATTAATATGATCAGAAAAATTGAAATCAGCAAAAGAAAATCAAATCAGAAAATTGAAGAATATCATCTGAATTCTAAGAACAAAAGAAAACAAAAACTATATAATTTACAACTTACAAGAAGTATAAATCACAAAGAAAGAAAAAATTCAGTTAGATGTTATGATGTATATAGCTTATTCCTTGAAGGGTAATTCGAAGTAAGATGATAGATTTGTTATTGGAAGATTACTGGAAGATTTGGAATAAGATCTGTTTAAATCTCTCAAGATCTGACACCAAATAACAAATTTAGGTACGATCTAACATAAAAGTGAGTGAAAATGAAAAAAGTAAAAGTCAATTGAATGAAATGTCCCAAGTTTTGATATAAGATATGAGCTTAGATCTTGTTTATTGTAAGTTGGAAAGTAGATCTACATATATAATGTGTCATTGGAGATTAGAAAAACTAATTTAAAGAAAAAAAGTGAAAAAAGAAAAAGAAAAAGAAAAAGAAATAGGGGAGGAGGGTGGGGGTGGGTTATGGTACTGTCTCTTGCCCTTTAATGGTCAGTACCGTGATATAACGGCCCTTATAGCTGTCATTCCTGATGGACCATTATAACGGTTGGTAACTGTATCGCCTTGCATTATTGCTGTTACTTCAAGCACTGATACAATCTGCTCATCAAGCTGTTGCACATCCTAATCATATTTCCTCTGCATTTTACTTTTGTTCTTTCTTATTTCTTACAAATGTGATATATTGGTTGGATGCAATATAACTTTAGTTCACCGCATACATGACAAAACAATGAACTCTTAAAGAAGACAGACAGACACAAGAAGGACATGAATGAATGAATCCATGTCCTTGTCTTATTGTTGTATTATCTGACTAAGCACTAAACTTTGATTTACTCTAGGATCAAATTCCACATGTTTTTGATACTTGAGGCAAGGCTTGATAACAATAAGACTAATAAATAATGACTTAATTGACCAATTTTTAATCTGGGAGAATCCGCAGTTCATGTATAATAGCATATCGAGATGCAATAGAGAATGTAAAATAATAGAAAAGGAAAATTTGTTTAAATTTATACTTTTGTTATGGAGAAATACATAATTTATCTATATTTAATTAAAATAACTGTGTTTTGACTTATCCTTTGCCATGTGAAATCCATGCTTGCATATTTGGCAAGTATCCGAACTAATTTATTTTAAAATTCTAAATTGTGGGCACATGTCCAATTTGCATCTAGCTGTACCACTGCATATCATGTGTGTAATGTGATCGATTTTACTTCATTACTGTCCATGCTTCTTAGGTTAAAAAAGTTTTTGTTAGAGGATATAAATACGTAAGTTATACCCTCTCTAACAATTTAAACATTTAGAATATAGTAGTATATAAATACTTAAGAGTATCCTGAATTCGAACCTCATCATTACCTTAATAATTATATAATTCATACACGTTTTGGCCCACTCATGTTAAAGAGTCTAGCCGTATGCGAGGGGCATGTTAATGGATGTATTACTCCCTCACAGTTTAAGCTTTTAGAGTATATGGTAGTTAATAATTTCATATTGATTTTTTACGCCTCGTGTACTTACTGCAGAATGAGACTGAATGTGCTTATTATTTGAGAACTGGGCAATGCAACTTTGGGATCACTTGCAAATTTCATCACCCTCAACCATCTGATATGATGGTCTCATTGCGTGGCTCACCAGTTTATCCTCCTGTCCATTCTCCCACAACTGGTCAGCAATCATATCCTGGAGGAATGACAAACTGGCCCTTGTCGAGAGCATCTTTTATTCCCAGCCCGCGCTGGCAAGGCCCTTCAAATTATGCGCAATTGATTCTACCTCAGGGAGTGGTGTCAGTCCCAGGATGGAATGCACCTCGTGTAAGCAACTAAGCATTTCTTTACTCTTTTGTTCTGAAAATTTCAACGATGTTCCTCACCTGATTGCTTGGTGGGAACAGGCTTCCTTTAAAAGATCCTTTAGAATGGAAAAAAGTTAAATGAACAATGGCTGTAGTGGCTGAAAAATTCTGCTATAATTATCTCTCAAGTGTACAAAGAGTACTGTGTTTTGTTGTGGTTTGGAAATGTGTCACAAAATCTCCTTCATACTCTGAACATGCCCATCTATAAAAATTACCTTAGCAGTCAGCATGTGCAATTTCCCAATTATATTAGGTTCTGTGTCTGTATGGGTATGACAGAGGGTGATTTCTCCTCTGTTGCTCTTAATGCTGATTTATTGAATAAGTGCGTTCCTTTTTTATTTTCTTCCTTTATGGACTGATATTTACCTTTTATTCATCCTATAAAGCTGTCTGCTTAGCATACTTGGATCCCAGAATAATTGCTTTACTAGTTTTGCTTTTGTTGACACATGAAATAACCTATCTGAAAAAGTAGATAATCTCGAAGATAAAATAGAAAGAAAAAGATTGGGGTAATAGTGGGTTTGTAAATGTTTTGGGGTGTGTGGCTCTGCTTACCCAAAAAAAAAAAAAAAAAAAAAGGAAAGAAAAGAAAAGAAAGAAAAAGAAAAAAGATTGACTAGAGTTTTTAAGAACTTGGCAAAACTACCTTTTTGGCCCTGTTTGGGTAGCTTGAAATATATTTAGGAGTATATTAGGTGGGATGGGATCTGTAAATCTATGAGAGGACTTTGCATTGATGCATCAGGTGTTGAACCTAGAATAAAGTTGGTGAGCTGGGAAGCATGCTTACTTAAGGGATTTGGTGATGGTGTGTGTTGATTGTGATATGGTTGTAATAAGGTGCTGATGGTGGTGTTCTGTGGCAGTGTAATTGGTGCTGGTGGTTGCTTTGACGAATCGGTTTAACACATTGAACCTATTAAGGAATTTGGATTGCTTTATGCTTTTATTTTTTGAGTCTAGGGATTGATTTCTGGGTATTTTGGTCCCAAACATTAGAACTGACTTAATATTGCACTTGATACTCAATGATACCAATTCCAGATACCACTGCGTAGGTTAAAATGAGCTGTTTTGCAACTACTTTGATTTTGTCTAATTTAGGAATAATTCTGGAAGTTTTGGAAATTACACATCCAAAGCTATAAAAATGAGAAATGTTAGAATTGCCTGTTCACAGAGTGATACCCTCAAATTATCAACATTTACCTTGAGCTAAAATCCATGTGTTACTTGCATAGCTGAGGTATTTATATTGCTTGTAATATGATATTGGGTAAATTACCCTGACCTTCCCTGAGGTTTTCGTTTATTACCCTTGGCTTAAAGTTTTGCAAAAGTAACTCTTAACACCCGTCAGACTTGAGAATAGTTAAAAAAGGGTTAAGTTTTGTTGTACAATTACCAAAATATCCCCATTTTTAATGTATGGGTGCAAGACTTCCTGCTGATGTAAGCCATCAAAATTAAATGACCGATCAACCCTTGCACTCCCACTCCACCACTGCTGCTCTCTCCACCAGTGGCTCCTCTCTCTCCAGCACCACCACCTTACACCCCCATCTCTATCTTTCTCTCTCTCTCTTCCCTGCACATCGGCACCATCAATGCATTCCCCCCTTTCCTCTCTCCCCACCATGGCACCGCCCCTCTCTCTTCCCTGAGGTTTTCGTTTATTACCCTTGACTTAAAGTTTTGCAAAAGTAACTCTAACACCCGTCAGACTTGAGAATAGTTAAAAAAGGGTTAAGTTTTGTTGTACAATTACCAAAATATCCCCATTTTTAATGTATGGGTGCAAGACTTCCTGCTGATGTAAGCCATCAAAATTAAATGACCGATCAACCCTTGCACTCCCACTCCACCACTGCTGCTCTCTCCACCAGTGGCTCCTCTCTCTCCAGCACCACCACCTTACACCCCCATCTCTATCTTTCTTTCTCTCTCTTCCCTGCACATCGGCACCATCAATGCATTCCCCCCTTTCCTCTCTCCCCACCATGGCACCGCCCCTCTCTCCCCCAACACATCGCCACTCCCATCCTTCCATCTCAATAATTAATTATTTTTTTATTCTCCAGTTTAATTCTTCAACAATCTCCACTGCAATGAATTTGACATTTACCCAATTCATCAAACATTCAATTGGGTGCATCATTTCAAACACAACCAAATACCAATTGATTGTGATAGTCCCAAATTGTATGGAGAGAGAGAAGAAAGAATTTGTGGGTACAGAATCAAAGTAGAAGATGACATGAATGACACGCATTTGAGATATATATATATATATATATATATACATATATATCTCCATGGTTCACATACACATAAGTTTGAGAGAGAGAGAAGGGAGAGTTATTGGATATAACAAACCCTCAACAAACCCATTGTTGAGCCATCGTTTGTTTTTCTTTTAATCAATCTTCTGTAATAAACTTCAGTTTAAAAGGAAGAGACATGTGAGAAAGAGAATTCAGATTGTGTTTGATTTAGGGCTAGGGTTTGATGATGGAATGAATTGGTGGTGGCAAGTTGTGGTGATCTGTATATATATATATATGTATTTACAAGTTGTTGATGAATAATTATAGGAAGTTTGTTGGAATTAATTGGTGATGCTGTGAGAGAGAAGCAAAGGCTGTGATGGTGCTGTGGAGTGACAAAGAGGTTGGAGTGGCGGTGATAGTGGAAGGATGGTGGCGGTGTGGCCTTGTGAGAGCGAGGGGTAGATCCGGCAATATGGTGGAGATGGTGGCAGTCTAGAGAGAGGAGTTGAGATGGCAATACGGTGGAGATATTGCCAAAGGCAAGCAAGTGGTAGCGTTGATTGCATACGACATATGTATATGTATATGTATATATATATTCTTCAGTGTGTATATATGTATATGTAATTTGTATATTAAATATACTTTTAATAGAATAAATGAAATAATTTAATTCTCATATATATATATATATATATATATATATATTTAAAAATTCTGTAAATTATAAAGTTTAAAAAATTGAACCTTTCGAAAAAAAAGTTTAAAAACTTAAATGTATATTTATATGCATAAATATTGAATAAGTATCTTTAATTTTTTAATATTTTTATATTATGTAAATATTATCAATTGATAAGTATATTAAGTTTACCCCTTCTGTAAAATGTTGCGGCTAGGGATAGTTTTGTCTAATTACTAATGACACTAATGGTGATTTCATTTGATGTATGAGGTTAATTTTGTAAATGTGCTGCATATGAGGGTAGTTTTGTCATTTAAAATTTCTGTTTGACTTGACTTTAACGAGGATGACGGTCAATTCATGGCAGGGGTGGTCAGGGTTAAGTCAACCAAACGTCAAGGGAGGTTGACCAAGATATTTTTAAAATGTTAATCTATAGGTAATAAACGAAAACATCAAGGGAGGTCAAGGTAATTTACCCTATGATATTTTAGAAAATTTGCACCTCTAGGCTGCATTTTTAAACTTTTAAAAGAACTGTTTTTCTATTTATAGAAAATAGAGAAAAAGTTTTAAAGTCAATAGAAATTTGGATTTGGTGTTATTCATTTCTTTAAAAACAAAAATACAACATTTTTCATTTTTCAGAATTATATATATTTTTTGATATTTATAGAAAGATATCTGAATATGGAGAACCTAATTTTTAAGATCGATATATTTTTCATGAATTAAAAAGTTCTTTTGTTTAATGCGCCAAAATGGACTTAAATGATTTGAATTCTTCAATTTTCGTTTTGTATTTACCAAAACATATTTTGATTGTGAAAACTGAAAATATTGAAACATTTTTTTTTTTCTATAAATAAAAACATAAAAAAGTAAATACATGCAAATTTTACAGAATTATGAAAATTTATGGGATTGGTGCAATATTTAATAATAAATTATTTTCATTCAAGTAAAATATTACACGCCATGCTATTTTACACTAGTTTATTATCCCCAAAGGGTTCTGTTGGGTCATCTGTGTTTTTGGCTGGATTAAAATGCCCTGTGAAATTTTTAATAAATATATTTAGTACTGGATTTGTTATTATACCTTTTGATATGCAATTTAGATTTCTTTCCAGGGACAACTGGGTTCAGTTTCATCTTCAGAGAGCCAGCAGCAAACAATGGGAAATAGTCAGATTTACAGAACTTCACGCCAGGGTGAAGCAGCAAATGCAGGACCCCAAGGGAATATTTCTCTCTACCGTTCTGGCTCTGTACCTGTAGGATATTATGCACTGCAGAGGGAGAATGTATTTCCTGAGAGACCTGGCCAACCTGAATGCCAATTTTACATGAAGACTGGAGATTGTAAGTTCGGTGCTGTTTGTCGGTTCCATCATCCGAGAGAAAGACTAATACCTCCTCCAGACTGTGTCTTGAGTCCACTCGGACTTCCTTTACGTCCGGTGAGTTTCTTCAATATTAAGTTCATCTCTTTATCTGCTATCGGTGCCTCATATCGCCTCAAGTGTGATTTATTCTGTCTTACCAGTTTTGAAGTATTCTTTACTTCAGGGTATTTGGTCTTTTTACTTGAGCCTTGCAAATAAATACCTCAACAATTTTTATGTTATGTATGGACTTTTATCCCAAAATTGGTCAGAACCTTATTTGCCTGAATTAAAATTTTCATTCGTGTTATGTTAATGATTTAATTTTCTTTTTTATTTTGTTTCCGTGTGGCGCATTTATTGCATTTACACAGCTGAGTTGCCTACTAATCTCATTTTGTTTTTGTACTCATGTTATCATGTTCACTGGATAATTTGGATCATTGAACCTATGCATATATATGTATACATAAAGGCCATTACACAGTGTTGATTCTGCCTATGTGGCCATCCTGAGTGGGACCTAACCTTTAGAATTGTTTTGCAAAAAGTGCTTTCCCTTAGACTTGAAATCCGTTCTCACGCTTGTCAGCTGGAGCTTTTACCATTAATATATACTTATATGTACATTGAAACTAGAAATATTCCTCATATTTAGGGGACACAAGCATTATTTATGGATCTACTCTACAAGAAATCATTTTCATACAAAAAGGTCACCAATCTTTTGTGAGCAGAACCATAAACCATATTCATAGGGATGTTTATCTGGTGTTGCACTTTCCCTTTTATTTTTTATTTTTTAAACAAATGTAATCGACTCAATTAGTCTTATGGTATTAGTTAAAAACACATTTAAAGATGTTTGTTTTTTTTTTTTTTTTTAGATTACTACTACTAAATTCATTCCAACATAGGATTTCAGATTTACTACCTGCTCTTGATGCCTCTTATTCTCTTTGGAATTAAAAGCAAACCTGCTCGTTTTTGGCAGTGTGGTATAGATGTTGCTCAAGCAGAAATTAGTGGAAAGGGGGTTTTGGGGGTGCATCTTTTTTTCTCTCCCGTAATTGTTGTTGTGGTTTGGGGTGGGAACATGCATTGATGCTACCTGAATGCATTAGTGTCGCAACTTTGATTTTTTTGTGTGGAAGATTTTCTGTTTTACTCATTGATTAATTGACAAGTTGGTTTTCATATTTTGACAGGGAGAGTCATTGTGCATTTTTTATACTCGTTATGGTATCTGCAAATTTGGTCAAAATTGCAAATTTGACCACCCTATGGGAGTTTTTGCATACAATCTATCACCATCACCTTCAGCTGACAGCCCGGTTGTTGGCCGGTTGTTGGGGTCATCATCAGGAATTGGTGCATTAACTTTTTCAGAAGGGCGTGTTGAAGCAGCCTCGGCAAAGCCTAGGCTACTTTCACTGTCAGAGTCAAGGCAGATGCTTCCTGGTGATAATGACATTGACACAGAGGAATGACTGTTCCCTCAATAATTGGCCAGTTATCTCCTTTTTCTCAATCTCCTGGAGGATGAGCAAGAGTTTTATTTAAATTGATTTCCCTTTGCTGGAGATGTACAGTATTCATGTTAAAAGTCAAATCTCTTCCTAAACTGCATTCAGTTGAGAGGCTTGATTCCTCTTAACTTCGCATTGTATAATTTTGCAAATTTTATTTCATTTGGTAAAACACAATGTGAAAATTTGATCTGTTCTAAATGTCCATTTTTCTGGTTTACATGGATCTTTGGTAATTTATACAGTTACTCTGGTTTATAATCCTAATTTAGCTTCCTGCTTTTATTTCTTATGGCAGACTTTATTCTGCCCTCCTTGCATATGTTTACCCCTACTGCTACTTACTACCGGTAGGCAGTAGTATTGCTTCTATTAACTACCACCACCGCTCCTACTAATATGTATAATACAAGTACTATTAGCCTGACTTCTGTGGGAGCTTTTTAGTTGTAACTGTTATTTTGTCATCTCCAGTTGACCCTGCCCAACTCTTGATCCTGCCCAACTCTTGATCTTTTTGATATATAGATTTTCCATTGCAGAGCTCCATATGAGCCAACTCTTGGTGACCGACAGATATTGATGCAGAAGAATGAAGCAGGTAGATCTGGTTTGACTTATTGTTCATTCTGGGTCAATTTTCTCAAACCTTACAAACCTCAGAACTGATCTTTGTATTTTCTCGATAAGTAGCCCTCCTCAATGCAATTTTGCGAGTTGCTTGGTGTAGTCAAATCTGAAATTGCTTCCAAAGAATTTGGTTTGATGATTTTTATGTTGCAAAGTGAAAGATTCCAATATTGGTCTTTCCTGCAGGCTTTCAGAAATGGCAGATAGTGAGATGTGTTAATCAGTCACACCAGTCTTCTGCAATCATCACCGAAGAAATTACGGCAGGTATCATGAGAAAGAAAAGTAAGGTGCTTTCTTCTTTTTTCTTTGAGTAAGAATTGTACCTGTTTGGAACTTGTTAGAATTTTTACTTATTTAGGAACCAGGGATTCTTTTTTTTTGTGTTGGGCAGGTTTTGCCATTTCTTATAGCCTGTTTGATGTATATTATTAGTGGTTCTAAATGCTTCTATGTGGAGATGTTTATATCTGTTGGATTGCCGGGTCCCACTTGTGATTTAGTTGCTTATTAATCTATGAGCTTGAGCCTTGTGGTATAGAATTTGCAATTCCATGGAGCTGCATTTGAACTTTTATTAAGTTAGCTCCACACGCCCCCTCTTAAACTTCTAATGATTAAGGGTAAGGCTGGAGTTTATTTATTTATTTATTTTTGGGGTGGGGGGGGGGGGGGGGGGGGGGGGGGGGGGGGGTATTGTCCTCCCTGAAAATTGTCTACAATACCCTTTATTACGCACTGAATTGTAGGGAGTAATTAATCCTTAAGTTGTGCACGTCAAACTTAGAGGCCAAAATTGTATGGGAAATGCATAATTTTTATCATAATAGTTCACTCCTGGAAAACCTGTTACTCTTCCTCCATGTTTTAATAGTTTCTAATTTGAAGTGGAAACTTCCAAATTTATAAAAATCCCAACAACTTTGCATGCATAGCGTTAAGGCATTATAATATAAATCATTATAATATATTGCCCTAAACTTTTAGGTATGTTTTTGTTAACTTGAAGCACATTTATCAATTGAACCCATTATTTGAAATTTTTTATTATATGTTGGATTTTCTTTTTCCTACTAAATTTATTATATGGGATTTGAGTAATTCTGCTCATGTTTTCTTTTCTTTTTCCTTTTTTTTTCCCAACCAACTTATGATTATTGTTAGGTTGTCTAAAAGTTTTTCTGACTATTGATGATCATGAGAGTATTAGTAATTGTTTAGGGTTTTGTTATTCGTAAATTAGTTTATCATGGAACATGGAGGAATAATAGGGCCTATTATTATTATTATTTTTTTTTTGTTGACTCTCATAAGTAAAAGAGATCAGAAATGTGGTAACTATCACGAAGAATAAAGAGATACCGTCTATGCCCAAATAAAAACTGATGTTTTCATAACAAAGCCATTTGTACGCATTGTTCATTTTTTGTAATTGAAATGTATATTGATCTATCAAAATATTTATTTATTTATTTTGTGGACCCTCATAAGTAAAAGAGATTAGAAATGTGGTAAATATCACGAAGAATAAAGAGATACAGTTTATACCCAAATAAAAAATTGATGTTTTCATAAGGAAGCCATTTGTGCACATTGTTCATTTGTTGTAATTGAAATATTTATTGATCTATCAAAATAAAGTATTTTCTATAAAAGTTGTGGTCGGTCATGTAGCATTACAAGAACATGGATTTGCTATGAATGAAGCTGAATAAACATTTCTATTGGATTTTGTCACATTAATGTACTTATGCAATTCAAACTTGTACACACACACACACACACACACACAAGAAATGGGTTGTGTTATTTTTTGGTGACTTCCAGTTCTTTTCTCTTATATTTCTGTTCTTATATTCAAACTTGTACACACACACACACACACACACACACAAGAAATGGGTTGTGTTATTTTTTGGTGACTTCCAGTTCTTTTCTCTTATATTTCTGTTCTTATATTTTGGTAGAGGGACAGTACATGGTGGAACAATAAAATGACTGGGCTGTTAAGATTGAGAACATGGATTCAGGTATGGGAGCTGCCACCTTTTTTGAATGATAATGGTAGGTTTGAATCCACTCTGTCCCTTATAGAACCCCACATTGGTTGGACCAACAATAGTGGCTTTTATCATATATTTTGGTTGATACAATTTGGGAAACGTCTCATTTTTCATGCCTTGCCATGCCTTAACTAAACTTCTAGATCTGTCAAAGTTAAAAGGGACTTGGAACTTGAAAATTTTCCCCTGTTTCTACAATGTGAGATCGAGTGTAGAGCCTAAAAGCAATCATCCCCACATTTGGTTAAGCGGCAATGATTTTTTTTTTTTTTTTCTTCACATATATCAAATAAGTCCCTCTGTTGTTGGCTTGAGGTTCTAGTTTGCACAAGTCCCTAGTGCCACCAAGTTACCACTCATTCCGTGATATCCCACATTGCACCCCTTTTGGTGGGGAAGTTCCTGATACTTATAAGTGGGGACACCACCTACATGTGTAGACGTGTTTTGAAGACCGTGAGCATGGAGAGTGTGCAAAGCGGACAATATCTACATAGCGTGGGCCTAGTCCTGTCACAATCTTTCCCAACAACATTATTTCAATGTTTATATATTGTTTAAGATATGTTTCAGTCAGCTCTCCTTTTTGTTTGTCTTCTAGGCTGACATTATTTTAGTGAATCTTTAATTGACTAACTTAATGAGTAATTAATATGGATTCCATATTGTTAGTGATCATAATTTGTTTTCTTGCCTTTGTGCGCATTGTTAGTGATCATAATTTGCAGACCTCAGTGCATCCTATATTACCAAATTCACACATTACATGTGATCATAATTTGTTTTCTTACCTCTCCATTAACTTCATACCTGGTAGTACCCAAGAGAGATGATCTTTAATCTCCAGCTGACAGATTGACCAGATATACAAGACACGTAATCCTTTCTGAGTACGACACATGTCAGACCTCCATTAAGCTTCAAGTAGACTAAGTCTCATCTGGCAAAAGTAATGTTATCTCCACCATTGCATATCCTACAACCAAGACCAGCTCCCAATTGCCCCGAGGTTAGCTCTAATGATCAAGCTCACACCGTGCGCTTTATGGCTAAACAACTGCATAGTGCTGCACTTCATGGGATCGGACTGGGCAGTTCTTTGGCCACATGCAGTCCATCATCTTGTCAAGCAGGTTTGGCACCTTGTCCAGGTATCCAAACTCTTCCAGAACTTCATATTGGTTATCATGCTGGTATGTCAAGCTTAGTTAAAGATTGTTATATTGGTATCTAGATTTAGTTATGAATGTGATGAAGGGAAGCTCAAAATAAATCTCACACTGAGATAATAGCGAAGCAAAGATTCAAACTCAAAAGAGTTACAAAATTTCTTTCTCAAGTCTTCATCTCCATATATTTTTCTCTTCAATATTATACTTGTAAATGGAGGGGTTCGAAAAAGACCTAGAGAAATGGCTTGTGCTTGACTGGAATGAGAGAATTGAATCAAACAAGCAAATAGAGAGGGTGGATGGAATGAGAGAGAGAGAGAGAGCGCGAAAGTGAAGCAGAATAGGAGTGGGGCCTCCTTGGTGTGTCGTTCCCACGTGTGATTCCTATTGGGTATTTATAGGGCTCATGGCATGGGCATGTGACAACTGTCATCCACCACCTGCGATTACTTCGGTCAAGTCGCGAACATACCCTTAAGGGTCCGGAGTCACTTGTTCCTGCGAGGGGCTCCTAGGATCCGTGGGCAATAAGACCATGTAATCTCAAGTCGCGACCCTATGCTACGCAATTTGACAATCCTCTCTCTCTCTCAATCCTCCATACCACGATCAACCCTTTTTCCCACTTGGGACCCTCAAGCCATATGTCTCGATATGACACCATAGTCGCCCGAGCCCTATTACTACGCGCAAGTACATATAGCTCGTGGATCAAGATTTGTCTTGATAACATCTTTTCATGCTTAGAGATAGCATCATTCGACTTGTTCTTGATCCGCGCTGCAACAAACAACACAAGGTTAAGAGCTTTAGCATAAGCGGCATTCCGAGTATCTTAAACCCCCCACCAATGCCCAAGACACAAAAACACAAAACACTCCTTTTTTTCTTTCTTCACATTTATGGTATGGACCCTACATGTCTCTCCTTTATTATCACACACACACACACACACACACACACACACACATATATATATTATATTTTAAACCACTATTGTCCTACATCAGTTCCCTTCACTTCCAGAAAACTCGTCCTCGAGTTTGGCTATGGATAAAGCTGTTTATCTGGTGGATGGTATTCAAATAAATCAACATAAAAGGTAGGGAAAATAGAAATGTATTAGGAAGATCAACATAGACATGTCCCTCCTTCGTTTTGAAAGAAGTTCCACTTGTCTTTAAGCCTAATACGAATCTTATAATAATTGCTCAACTCAATCTTCAAAAAGATTTTTATACCAACCTTTATATCCTTCAAATCATCTTCTTTTTTTTTTAGTTGGTACTCACACACACATGCCTCCATTGAGACTTGAACTCCTGACCTCCCTTTGGGAAGTAGGGGCCTGATACCGCTAG